AATTTTATACATGTCAGGCAACTTTTTTCAAACTAGCAAAAATACGATTAACGGGTAACAATCCGTTCATTCAATGCATCTCGCAAATATGTATACCTTACTGTAATAGTATTCATTGAGTACGGCTTTATTATGCACATCATAATTTATTCATGAAAATAATAGAGTTTGAATTTTGTTTTTAAACACGTTAACTGAACGTTCGTTACCGGTTTTAAGCAACAAAAATACTTTCAGAAATGCAAAAAATATACGAGTAAATTACAGAGACCGCTCCTAAATCTTATATAAATATATAAATAAGATTTAGGAGCGGTCTCTGTCTAACATAAGTTATGTTGGGTCGTGTGAGTTATTAGAAAAAAGCTATGATAAATAATCTGCTTAGTCTTGTATATATTTATCCATTAAATCTGTTGGAATATTGTCATTTAGTTAGGTACGCTATATAAAGATAAAGCCTAATTTCTTGAAATATCAATAACTATGTAGTAAAGTTGTTTCAAAAAACATAAACGTATCATGATGAGACGCTGTTAAATCGCAAACAGTACTACGGTAAACGGTATAAAGACTATATAGTGAAAACTAAATACATATATATTATTATTACACTTATTTTATGTGCCTGAAGCTGATACGTGGGGCATACTGAAGGTAAGGGGCTAGATCCAGAGTTCTGGCCACTTACAATAAAAGAATGAAAAACAATTATGGAATTCGAACCTGGAACTCTTTGGGAACATGTTACTTTTTAATTTGCGAGTCTGTCATTTATGCCTCTGGTAGGCAAAAACCTCATTTCTAATAGGAGGCCTTTGTCCAACAGTGGATTATTAGAGGCTGTTGATAATGATGATGTCGCCTCCGATAACTTTACTCATTCGGTGAAAAGAAAAATGCTTAGCAGTTTAACTTTTCATAGAACCTTTGTCACAAATGCTACGGTTCGGTTATTACATTGTACATAAAGTCGATGTTCTCTATATAAACATACACAAAAAGACTGGCAAGTGTATTCGTTTTGATCACTTAAAATCCATGTATCCAATCCAATCCAATCGTCGATGTAAATCATAGTCCATTAATAGTGCAAGATGGTTGCGCTGTTTGCGCTACCATTCTGTCTAAATAAAGACCAAGTAAGACAGATGACAGTCCATAACAAAATTATGTCAGCAGAACAACACGCATGAAGAGAGGGCAGTTCACCAACTCATTTATTGAAAGAAGTTCTTAAACAATAGTACGTGTTTAAAGTTCTCGGTATAGGTATTGACTGGGGAATATTAGTATTAAGGTTGGCTCAATAGAGCCACCCGACAACTTTATAGATAAAGTATTTAGCTATAATTAAAGAAAGTATAAAATTCTAACTTAAATAAAAATAAATAAAGGACTTTTAAGTAAAATTAAATGTTCATTAAAGTTTTAAATGTAAATATAATAGTATAATTCATATAAATTTACTTTGTATTTGAAGATTGTTTTAAAACTTAAGCTGACAGAAAATAAACATACGAAATGACGCAAATTTTCAGAATAATGAATAGAATAGTGTTTTGTGATATAAATTGTTATTTTTATAGTAAAAAATAACTAAAGGAGAAAGTACTGAAAATGTAATGCAAATGTTCTCGGCTAACTGCTATTTGGAATAAATACTTACACTCCTTCTGGCGCTAAAAGCGTCGTGTTGCAAAGTCTACGGAATCATATGAGTAAGAGAAACCTTTATAAAACAGTTAAAGTAGAGTCTGTAACTTCAACTTAATTCTTTGATTAAGAAAAAAATAACAAAGCTTTGGTCTGTGCTAACCTTTTCATTGAGCTCAAATGACCTCTCTGTACAGAAAACTATTTTGCCTTTCTTTTTCTAAATTTATTCAATGTTGCTGAAGTATAGACACATCAAACGCATAACTTAAGAACGAGTTATTGAAGTGTAATACATACCTATAGTATGAATATTCTGTTCTAGAAGTTAACTAGCACTATTTACCGGCTCAATCACGCGTGATCGTTTCATATTCATTAAAGTAACTGTAAAAAACGTATAATAACCGTTTGGGCATTATATTATTACGTGCTTCTTGCAAGATTTTAATAGATTAAAACATCAATTATGTGATTATAATACGTTCATGTCTGACATGCCTGTAAAATGCAAGCTAGTTTTTTAATCATTCAATTGTCTGTGTGGTCAGTCTGGAGAATAAACTTATATTTTCCTAAACTTTAACGCACTAATGAAAAACTTGGTATAGTCAAAATTTTAGGTAACGGTACCGGTGTGTTATACATAAAGTATTAAAATATGAAAAAAAATAAGATTTCTTATTTCAAAACAAGCTCAAAAATAAATCGAGTTACGTTGTGTACTTGATTATTTTACATTCAAATATCAACACAAAATCATTTTTGGAGTGTACAAAATTAACATACTGTAAATCTGAATAGACTAAAGTGAAGAACTTATATTAAAATGAGAGTAAAAGAGAAAATTAACATCGCTTCGCAAGTCATGTTACGTATGTTATTTAATTCGGTACAAACGAAGAAAGCGCAGCATTAACGGCTTAGATACATGGTAATACTTTCATCTACAGAAGCTGGAAGAGAGTCATCTAACTCTATTAATCAACCAAGCAATTTACGAGCCTTTAAATTTAACTTCTCAAATAGACATGGTTTTCAATTCGATTTCAATGTCTTAATATTTAATATCAATTGATCAGGTAATCAACGAATTCTTTTCTGCAATAAAATAAAATAACGTGCAACCCAGAACTTGGCGTTACCATATAAATGCAATGCTACTTTATGTATGAATTTATTTATAAAAAAATGTAAACATGTTTGTTTGTGGCTTATAATGTATTAACACGTATATTTAACTTTTAGTATCTTTTAAAAATTAAAATATTCAAACGTTCAACAACTCTATACATTATGTTGTTAGCTTATTTTTTAAATTGATACTGAGCCACAGATGTGACTTCTGAGTTCCAGTCTTATGAGCGTTTTTATGACAAAAATAACTGGCAACCTAAACCACAAACGAAAACATAGTCAATTACCTACTTAATAAAAAAGAAAAAGTTTAAGTAGGTAAAGTTTTTTGACAGGTGTCAATTATCTTTGCTGATTTGCTAACAAACAAAAATATATTTATAATATTTTGCTACGTCTTCGTTGTAAAGTCATCATCATTGTAGAGACACATCTCCAAGGAAAGGCTAGTAATGTATAATTTTCACTCATTTAAATAGTTATAAAAACATATTAAAATAACTGTTAAAAGCGTAAACATTTACTAAGTTAATGCTCTCTGCAAATATGGTGTTCGGCTATCTGTAAAATTCTTTAAAAATAATATGCCTATTATTCAAAAAAATTATACTGTATCCATTTACCTTTGAAGTAAATGTAGCCACCAATCACCAAGCAATAAATTAGTACTGAACTTTTACATAACATTCAAAAGTTCAATGACATGTATAGAGTTAAACGATGATGTTAAATAACTCGGAAAGGTTACAGTAATGTTCATAAACCTAAGAAGTTCATGGTCATAATATGAATTTAATTATCGCCCATATGGATGCTGCTCATCCTCCAAACAATCGATTACAACACAACACAGCAGGCGGCATGTTATAATCACGCACAATGCGGCAATACGCACTTTACCGTGGCTAATTGATAAACAACCGCTAAAATCATGTACACGGTGTGTTTAAAGATATTAGTAACACGCAGGTACTGCACTTCCCATCAAAACGTTAAGAACGACTGTAAGAATTTTTATTTATGCCTTTCTGTATCCACTTTGTATATCATATATACATCGTATTTTTTGTGTGCGTTATGTATTCAATACTCAAATTACAAGGAGTTTGAACACTAAGTAGGAGGTACGACCAAAATGTAGTTTTCTTATAATACATTGCGCTTTGGGCATCTATGTATCATGTATACATTCATTTATCCAATCTTTACCCACGATAGGAATAATTTAAATATTTTATATCTACTTGTTTTGCAAAGCCCGTCAGGTACGGCACCGTGTCAGCAACTTTACCACTTTTAATAATTGTGTTATCCGAATACTGTCCCAACAATATGATCAGCAGGCTAATCTCAGTAGTAGGACATTGGATAGGACATTGTAGGATGCTCTCTCTCAATATTCTGCTCTCTCTCTCTCTCTCTCAAAGTTCTGTAGATGGACTATTGTCGGACTTTTTAGAGCTCCAACATGATTGCCACACATGTTTTTCCGAGGCACGGAGAGGTCTTACTACGGGGGGGTATTACGAATAGTCACCCATCCATAGACTGACCTGGCTAGCTTTGCTTTACTCTGCAATGTGTTAACCTAGTCTGTTACCCACCTTGTGTGGACGTCCAATTCGTGGTGATTATACCAGACCCTTCCATCCTAATTGTATCCTAAAAATACTTATAATAGTGCACGAATGTATGCTTGTTTGTTTACTAATCTTTGACGCCTTAACTTTTCAAGAGATTATCTTGTAATTTTGATACAAGTTGTCAAGGGCACAAATAGGATATAGATCCGAAAAGTGAAAAGAACTCAAAATAGCTAACAACACATTAAAACGATTGACAGGCCTCCTGGTCTGGTGGTTAGTAACCCTAGCTGCTAAGCCTGAAGTCGTGAGTTGGATTCCCACCCAGGACAAATAATTGTATGATGAGCATGACGACTTGTTCTGTGTGTGGGTGTCGTTTATCTATACTATGTGTGTATTTATAAATATGTAAGTATGTTTATCAGCAGCCTGGTTACCATAGTAAGTGCGGGTTCTGCCTAGTTTGGGATCAGGACGTGTGTAAGATGTGTGAGGTTATTATAGGTTATTAACACATCAATGTACTCAAATACTAACATGTAACAAGCCTAATTTAAAGTCAAGTGCACTAATCCATATTGAGAATATTTTTATTTTGAATTTTCGTCTTTTCTCTTTTAGACATGGAAGACGAATGCTATCCGGCGATGCCAGCGAGCGCGTGGAGTAGTCGACGGCGGTCCAGTGATTCACCCCCGCGGGAGGTTAAGGCTGAACCGAAATCTGAACCAGAGTCACCTGCTTCGTCATGCCCCCCTTCACCTACCCCTGGCACACCTGTCGCACACCTCGACTATGTTATTGACCACACGGTAAGGAAGTTCTTTTATACTGAGATATAAAAAACCGAAACAGAGAAATATATAATTTTGTACTACAGTTGATATTGCAATTAATTTTTTTAATTCGTTTCTAGATTTCTATATAATGTTGAACTGACTTTAAACAATACTAACAAAGAGCACTAGAAACCTAGCAACAATCGCGGTTGATTTGCTGTCATTATTTGAAGAGTTCCATCGTCTATCTCCGAAACGCATCATCAGATTTATATGAAATTTAAATGGGATGATTTCGGAATAAACTCATTTCGAATAAGAAAATATTTTTGAAAATTCATTTATGTATGACGGAGTTATGTCTGAGTTATATAAAAAATATATAAACATCTGAATAAGTTGATAATCTCCTCGTTTTTAAAGTCTTTTTAAAAGTTGCCATTTCGAGCAATTAGTCAGTTCAGGCAGTAGTTATTTTAGAAAAGTGGTCATATCCGGCAAGTGGTTATTTTAAGAAAGTAGTCATTTCAGGAAAGTGGTAAATTTAGGAAAGTGGTCATTATCGACCTAAAGGCAAAAAAAATATATCGTTATTGAACTAAAAATTGTATTCATTGAATACCTGAAAGTAAGTACATACGATATAAACCCTGCATATTATACTCGTGAGTACCCCCTGAGCTTTATACTCCAATATTGTATGTGTGCATTTAGTAGATAATGGGTTTTAATAAACTTTAACTATCAAACGTAACCCGATAATTGGCGAACGAAATAAATATCCATTTAATAGGTAATAATTTCTATACTACTCATTTAATTCTAAACAGTAATTGAATTCTTTTCGATATCTCAATCACGATCTAACTCACACACGTTGCTCAAAGACTGGTTAAGAGAATTTGGGAACGTCTATGTGGACTGACTGGTCACGTGTCATGGCACCATCATGTCTATAGGCGTGATAACTCGACAAAAGCAAAGGTCGTTTAAGTTCAAACATTTCGTGTATCTCGCTTTGCAGCTTTCACCTGTACGGACCTCGTCAAATCGTTTGTAGTTTAGGGTTCCGCAGTTGTAATTTTTTTTTATAAAGTCATCAATACCTATTGAGCGATATTATAAAAACAATAGCGTTTCGCATTATGAGCATTAGAACTGGAGTATGTATGTTTTGATTAGAACACTCACAATATACTGCTTTAAAGCCTTTATAATAAAATTTTCGGACATCTGACACACAACGTAATCTAGTTTCAAACTAAGCAGAACCATGTGACCCCATAGGAAAGTTAACTCACTCTTATAGAAGACTGCAATGAGCCAGCGTTATACATCGCTACTGGGCTACTTATTACTATAGTAAACATACAGCAATAAAAGGTAAAGGCAACGTCTATGTAAAATTTTATGATGATCCGTTAAGTTGGTACTTAGAGCGTGAATAATTAATAAGATGAGAAAAAAAAATCAATTGGGATGTCTAATGGTGCGTGTGGTTTTGTATTCTTGGCGAGATCTCAACAAATATCAAAAAAACTTAAGTTAAGAGTTAAAAATAATACAGTACAGAATAGTTGTTTTACAAGGTAGCCACGCGCTTTGCAACTTTGAAAGCAATGTTTATACGTGCGTGATATGTCCGGTAATTATTCAGATAATTACTGTTCATAAGTATGCCTCAGTAAATACCGTCAGGTTGAATTCGTTAATTATTATTGTACGAACAGTAAGCAGAAATGGTAGGTATTTGAAAATATCAGTGCTGCTTGTGCCACTAAAAATATTTAAATTGTATTGTAAATGATATTCTTGTGGTTGCAAGTATCTAAAAGCTATACTCGCTCGATCGCTTTCGCTTACCTTCCATCAGGCGGGTTGACATTGTTTACTGTTAAAACACAAACATTTAATATATGTAAAATTAATCTAGACATGTTTCTTTATTTTCAGACTGGAACAATCCATATGCCACAAGCTGTGTTACAGAAAGTCGGTGCGGCAGGCATGCCTCAACTGTTACTGAGCGCCGCACCGCGACTGGCGAACTCCCTCAACTCCAACAAGTTATCCATCAAGGTCACCTCCAGCTCAGGTGCTTCGGGTAAGTTGGGATGGGCTACCTACTCTTTCCAACTAAGATACCGAGTTCAATTCTCAAAATACTTCAATTTCGGGAGGTTGAAAAACAAATTTATTGCTCCTCTATTAGCTTTTTTAAATGATAGGTTTTTAGCAGTTTACTTATGCTAGTTGGCTAGCGCAAGACATAGGTTCCTTGTAAAGCAATACCTGATAGATCTGTTACTACAACACCTCGGTCCATGAAACCGATTGAATGGATACTATTAACCACAAATAAACACGTTTCACTGAAACTGATATAAACTGATATCCGAGTCCGCTGTTTCACTGTAAAATCTCGTCTGCTTAGCAGATGAGTGTACGAGATTATGCTTAATTAGTACGCCTGATATGTACATCAACTCCTTTTTGTTTTTAAAATAATCTATGCACATCTCTTTCAGGCTTCAACTTACCGCCCACACCGCCTTCATCTCTCTCATCATCAGACAGCGAGGGAGCTCTGTCCCCCGCACACGAGGCGTCGGCTGCCCCCCTCGCACCTCCCGCGGCCCCCGCTCGGCGCTCCCACCTGTACGTGTCGCATCATACGAGACAACCAATCAACACGCCACTCATTAGCAGTCAACCGGTAAGTTATGTGACATCCACTTATTAATACTACCGGACTAGTTTCAGCTAGCTCTGGTTTACAACGACACGCGGAAGTATCGTAACGTATTCAGGTTATTTTACGTCAACTCGATCGTCGACGGCGACTGCTTTCGGCGCTTTCGTCGCCAAAATAAGCCCTTGGAAACCTCTCCTGTATTCCTTTCCTATTCACTAGAGAATAATTTTCGATTCAGTGTACATAATACTAGTACAGATAAATGAGAGGCTGGTCTTGAGATTTATTGTCAAGATTTATGGACATGAATGTGTTCGGATCATCTATTCGTTAGTACATTTTAAGTTATTTAGAGATTAGGGTGAGCGAAAATACGAACATAAAAACAAAGCTACCTTAATTCGCACCATACGCATGCATCGCCTACACTGAACTTTCACCAGTAAATCCAAGACATCTGAGACCCGTACAATTCGATCGAAACGACGGTAACAAAGTGTGGCATAACGTGGGAATTACACATATAATATGTATAGCAGGTAAGAAAATTCAAAAACACACTACAAGCAGAAAATCTAAAGAACTCGAATGATTCCCGCGGCTATAAAAGCTCGCTTAAGGGTTCCTTGCGACTTGCCTTTCCAATTCCTTAAAATGTAGCAACGCTGAAGCACCTAACCAAATGGATTAACTTGATTATTTAAGTATTTCTTCCCAAAAAAGATTACATTATGATTATATTGTCATCGTATAATAACATTTATGTCTGAATATATTCCAAGCAATAAAAAAACATTGCAGTGTACTTTTTCGATTTCCTCGCATAAATATTGAGTACGTTGAAGTCAATGGAGCATAAACTGAATCATTAATAGTCTCCTGATTATACGTAAGCAATAAAAGTGCCTCAAAAATTTATGACCGTTGAATATAAAGGTGCAGTTTCTGTTTTTGGCAGTGGCTGCGTATGCGCACGTGATGAAATATTCATCATTTATAATTAATAGGAACATTGTTAAGTAAATGTACAAGGCTTTCTTTATTATTTAAATAATATGAATTGAACTGAATAACATTGGTAGTTTTTTATACTCTTCGAAATAAAAATATGTGATAATTTTTACATTTATAAATAGCCAGCGACTAAGACCTCTGCATTACAGAATCAATGGTTTACTTTTATTAAAAATAAATTTTTAGAACATTTAAGTTGTACAAATATTAACTTAGCCTGATGGAATAAATAATGAATTTTATTTAACAATTAAATCGCGTTTGCAAGGTAAATGTTATTTGCTTATTGATAATACCAATATTTATTCGTCACCCTATTCATTTTACGATCAATATGTATCATAAATTTTGATCTGCTAATGGTACTTGATTAACTGGTGAACACAAATAACTTTATCTCAGACCAAAGATTTCTGAGCAACGTGCTCAGTGATAAATTGATTGTCAGGTCAATGAAAACCGTTGTTTGTCTGTTCGTGTGTCAATAAATTGAACTTTAATTCTATTCTTCCGAAACTTCTAATCATGCGTTTTTTATATGATTATAGAAAGGCTCTACTGGCACGTTGGTGCTGACAGAAGAAGAGAAACGCACGCTACTCGCTGAAGGGTACCCCGTCCCAACCCGTCTGCCACTTACCAAGGCCGAAGAGAAATCACTCAAGAAAATCAGGAGGAAAATAAAGAATAAGGTACCTAGATATTATGTAATCTTTTTAATATGGTGTAGAGGGCAAAAAGGTCTTGATGGTAAGTGACTACCGCTGTCTATGGACATCTGCAACTGAAGGGACACAAGTGAGTGCTCACCCTATCCCGTATTATAAGAATTATGCCTTCTTAAAATACAGAGAGACTCCTAAGATACAGGTTAATCAACCTATTTTAGGAGACAGAGCACTTATCAAAATGTAACTTTGATGGTTCAATAAACTTGTTTGTCACACTGCACTGACTGTTGTGGGTTCGATTCCAACATGGGACACCACTTTGTGTGATCCACAAATTGTTGTCCTGAGTCTGGGTGTTCTTTGTGTTCGTTTCAAGTAAGTTTGTAAAGTCCCCCGCGACACAGGATATATTATAGGCTATATTTCTAATGCTTAAAATTGCTTGGCACTCATTTTCTGGGAGGCCCTGATATCGTGGTATCACACCGGTCGAGCCAGCCTGTATGTGCCGAATTATGGCTCTACTTAGAAAAGTGTGGTCTAGTCATAGAAATCATTGCTGCTAAATCATAATCATATGATGAAATGTTTAGTTTTAGTCACTACACAATCACACATCACATGATGTGTGATTATGTGACAAATATGTGCTTACAAATTACAAATTATGCTTATGTGCTTACAAATCATATAATTTATGACATTTGATTCCATCCCTAGTGCTCCGATTACATAGAAACCATTTTGTCACAGTAAACCACTTACCTCATGGCACAAGAACCTGACTTTTTGTCGAAAGAGATTGTATATAAATATATACAAAACAATGCGATTCCTTTATCTACTATACTTATCACGATACCAAACCCCTCTTTGAATTTATATTTTTAACTACATTTACCACTTTGTAAATTATTAACAAGTAATTATGTTTTAAAAAACTACTATCGACTATAATGCCCTACAAAACTTACAACCCTCATGGCTTTTTTGTTCATAATTTATCCTGTCTCTCTCTATCTTTTTGATTGTCTGATATCTTATTAGATAAAAAGAACCTTGAAAGAACTCTAATCTAAAATATTATAATTTACATCGGATAACATGATAAATAATTATCGCAAAACATTGACAAAAACAAACGAACTGAGAACCGCCTTAGGAAATCAATATAAAATTTAATTATCGGCTGATTAACGACAAGGATAATTAAAAGAAATTAAATAACAGAAATGCTGTTTATCCATAAGAAGATTGATTAATTTACTCACGTATAAGACATCCACAGATATCGTTAGTTTTACCCGCCCGCACGCACAGCTGTTTTATAGCCTAAGGTATTAGGGAAACTGTGCACAAACACGGTATTAGTGTTGTTAGCGCACTACAAGACAAGACATCTAGCTTTGGCCGTAATAGTCATATCTTGATCGTACGTATTTCAAGTGATATTTATTATTTCAGATATCAGCCCAAGAAAGTAGACGCAAAAAGAAAGAATACATGGATCAACTGGAAAGGAAAGTCGAGGTCCTTATCTCCGAAAATACAGACTATAGAAAGAGGGTAGAAACCCTTGAACAGAAGAACGCGAGCCTGTTGAGCCAGGTGGCGTCCCTGCAGGCCATGGTGGCGCGCGGCGCCAGGAAGTGACGTCATAAGCGATGCAGCTCGCGTGACGTCACACTTAGCTGTACTGTGCCGAGTTGCGACTCGAGCACATAAACCCACTCGACGTCACCAGATATCAAGATTCAGTTTCGCCGTCCAGTTAGAATACAAATTCTAGAATTTTCTTTAATCTGTGTTCAAATTGGCCGCGTGCCCGATCAGGCTAGGAGACAAGCTCTCAAGCTCAGATATCGTCTGTCGAAATTGTAACGCTGTCCCAAAACGGAATATGTATATTTTGGATGTATTTACATTTAAGTACGCGTCCGAGGGAGGTACTGTCAGCGTTTGAATGGTTGCTCACTGTATTTGTTAGTAAATAGGTATTCTGTGGTGCTGGATCCGACACCCGTCGATATGCAAACTGTCAAGTGCCACACTAGATATTTATTTTATACAACTCTAAAAACAGTTTTCGTTCAAGGAACGTGCAAGGAGCGATTACTACACAGGGAATTTTAGTACTGGGGAATAGGATAAGTACCGATAACTATTTACTTACGCGTGTTGTTTGAAATCTCGTAATATATCATAACGTTGTAACAGCGCTAACGCTGTAATGGCGATAAATAGTTTTTAAGTTTTATTCTTTGCGTGTTTTCATTGAAAATATGAGCAATTAGGTTAAGGATTTTATTGTTACCCAAAGCATACATTGTACTTGTGTCGCCGCAAGGTTAGGCTTGTTTCCATCGTTGGAACATCACCTACTGCGAACAGGCCGCCTGTCTGTATGTGGCCTAATACTTTTAATGGTATTTGACATTAGATTAAACAATAGCGTCTACTGAACTACTTAAATATATTTTCCGAACGTACGAACGTGATTTGTGACGTCATTAGTTTCGTTATGATCGGAATTTTAGTAGCATAATAATGTAAGGCTCGCAATGTACCAAGATGCGTTCTTACTATTTAATATTGAATTCCATGAATTTGCATTTATAGCGAAATGTGTATTGTCCTAGAGATTTTACCTTGTATTTAAGATAAAGTTAGATTCTATGTATCTAAATAAAGGAGCTAATGAAAGCCGATTTGTATGACAAGTAGTTTCGGTTATGTCTAGTCTCTGGAACCTTAGGCCTCGTTGTGGAGGTCTATATATACATTAGCTATATACATCTCAGCTCATACTGCACTCTATGGATCGACAAGTACAAATAATGGCATGCCTTCAACGGAAATATTGCAACTAACTGTAAAGCTTACTCAAATGTCTATTTACATGCAGTCTTTTAACCGTAAAAGATACCTGACATCAAATTAACTGAACTTTAGAATTGGTAGAAACTGAACAACGTAATCGGTTGTAACATAACACGAGGGTCAGTTCAAATCATCCTCAAATAAGAACCCTGAACAGAGCTTATAATATCGTTCCATACTATTTTTCATATTGGTAGTATCGTCGCCTTATCACTGTAGTAAACATCTCAGAAATATGATATTTAAGTTTTTAATCGAAATCCTTAATCTTTATATCAAACTAAATTGAAGTTATTAATCTTGTGTTAATAGCACAGTACTACTTCTGTTTTCTATTCGTGTCACACTACATTAGACATCAGAGTTTAAAAGTAATTAAATGGGCAATAAAGGGTACCTCAATAAAAGCTTAACTCAACCGATGTGTCGTTTTAGTTAGTTCAAAATCTGTTTTCTACTTAGCGGCTCTATGGCTTCCTAAGACAATCCCGCGCGCTTGGTCGTATAACAAGTGTTGATTCTTGGATTATCTCTATCTTAGTCGTGTATTAATTATTATTGATCACCAAACGGAGGCACCACATCTATTTGTTCCTTAAATCACACCAGTTCTTCTACCTTTGTAGCCAGACATCTAAATGCTTAATTTTTAACCCATTTACAAAAGAATTTCCAGAGAATATCATTATTAATAAATATATTCATGTTGGTCTTGCCAGTCCGCTGTTATTCTAGAACGTTACAGATGTTGGGTATTAAAAAGTTTTATATGCATCATGCACTAATACACAAAAGAAAAAAAAAAATAGCCCCCTACGTATACTATGCAACAGTGGTCGAAGCGAGATGGCTACCATTTAATGTTAGCGGTTGTGTCGCTACGCCCGCTGTGTTCACTCATCAAACACCTTTATTAGTCCACCGCTGGACATAGGCCTCTCATTAGATAAGAGGTTTTAGCCTACGACGCCGGCCAGATGGATTGGTATAGGGTTTGTGTCAAGTTTTTCTTCTCTATGCCATGCTGTTGTCCTTCATAGTTTGCTTCCTTAGTCGGCTCTTACGACACCCAACGAATGAATAGCCATAGTGACACTCCGTAGTCTTAATTCGTCACCACACGGACCCTGGCTGTCTGTGCACATTATTAGGCTTTATTCATTGTTATTTGATGTATTAATGTGTGAAGCATATAAACATGCTGCTAGTGATCTATCTAACATTCTTTACATACTAAACATTCCATTTCTTAGTAATATGAGTGACTTAAAGTGAGCTCAAGTACTTACACTAATCGTAGAATTTATTTAACACATACCTAACAATATCACATTTGAGAAATAGATAAATGTGTGCTGTTATAAATTTTAGCTAGACAAATTTATATGACTAGCCAATATTACTGTTATTGTGTCATTATGACATCAAATTAAAAGAAAAACGTGCATAGAAAATACTAACATTTATGCCAGTTATTAATATTTAAAACAAACAAACCAATTTCAGTTTATAATAAAAACTTTTTTAAAATTAAGGGTATATACTGATCCAAATTGAAGGCGCGTTCACACGGAACAGATCAAAAGAATGCAGATTTTTAAACTTAATCCTGCATCTTGTTGATTTTTTAACATCTTTATGTTGGAAAGTGATAGTGACTTAATCATCGGTTCCAATATAACTTTTAAACGTGTGTCGTGTAACCTAATGATATTTTTGGGCTGCAAATATTTATGACATATTAAGACAATCTTTTTGTTTAAAACCCCACTGTTGGGTGTTTATCGTTTATTTGTATTAATAATTTACTGTCTGTGCAATTAATTTGTTCTCTTATACACTCGTAAAGGTTCTTCCTATTTAGTAATGTAAGTAAATGTTCTATTTATATAGCGCTGAATTAATATATGGACATTATTATTATCCTGAACCATCAGGGCAAGTTTAAAAGAATTGAGATATATTTTAAGAGATTTTTTCTAAGAAAGTTTTAGATATATATAAATATATATAAACACTGTTTTACATGTCTTTATCACTATACAAGTTAGGTCTCTAGTTAATGTATTGATAGTATCTACATACAAGTTTATTATTGAAACTGCATTGTGTGCCTGCCTGTCAGCTATTTGATTGTAAAAGGGAAAAGTACCTTTAGGATAGAAAAAGTTATCGAAACGTATCCTTTATAGAAAATACAATTATTTAAATATATAAAATATTCCATTCCTAATATGGCATTTACCGTCTGCAAAAGTGATTTTATAGGGATTATGATGAATTAACTGATGTTAGATTATATTTAACTTATAATGAAATTTAATATATGAGAAAGATGCGTTTGCATCGGGCTTATTATGACATAATAACTTGTAATGTAAAAAAAATGCCAAACATACTTACTTTATACGTTAGTATGCACCATACATACTGGGTGACAATGTTACGATTCGATCGAGTGAATGGGTACCATCAAGTAGTTGTTGACAAGCTCATTTATCTTGATGATGTTCTAATCTCAAATGGGTCGTAATCTGAATGTATATGGGAGGTCCCTTGTGTGTGCCCGACCATACTTGTTATTCACTAAAGTGTAATTTTATTGATAGTTTTATTTGTTAAAACTATGCGTTATCTTGAGTCATGATTTGTTGAATCGTTTGTTTTATTATTATTTTTCAATGACATTGCGGATTTCTGTCACCCTTCTAATAAAACGTCAAATATTGTAATATCGATTGTTTTTTTCCTCGCCCTATATCCTTTATCCTTTTGTGACTGATTTGATGAATATTTACGTACATTAACCAGTCTACGTCTTTTCCATCTATTTATGAATATAATTTTTCTATTTGTCCAAGAAGCACAACCACGCCGCATCATACCCTGACATCACGTAGATATTAAAGAAAAGGCAAGTCAGAAGTAATCCCAGGATTTGTATCTATGGCTTAATGGTAGTAGTAGTAAAGGGGCAAACCAATGTCACCGACGCAACCAACGCAGGAACATTGTTTCGCTGGAATATCTTGTTTCCATTCCTAATTTGGGATTATTATTTTAAAGGTTCATCATAATTGTTCGGAGTCTGAGTGTGCTTACTAATAGGTTACTAGTAGGGTTTCTACATGTGCATATTATGCTTTAATTTTTTGTTTACCATTAAATATCTATTTTCTTTTTCTACCAATAAATATCTATATTGTTTTATTATGTCTATTTTTCTTTACCAATAAATAAGTCAATACTCTCTTTAGACGAGCAGGACAGAGCACGCATCAACAGCGTATAGCAGTCCACTGCTGGACTTAGTGCTCTCCTTAGACGGAGGAGGCTTAGGCCTACCATAAAAACTAAAAATAATATAAAGGGGGCCCTGGACCGGCTTGACCGGAAGACTTGACTGAAGGTAGCTAGGATAGTATTCAGAAGACGTTGAATTGGATCCTATATAACGGATTAAATGAGTTCAACGTCCAGCGGTGGTGAAAAGTAAAACAAAACAATTATTTTTTAATTTCAATTTATCGTACAAAGCTTACTTAACTAATCATAGTGATATGGTACACCTGCCATACGATTCTGTAGACATCCTAAAAACAATGAATTTAAGACTAGATTTTTATAAAAAATAACGAAACCCAAAATACTTTAGAATAATGGAGCACCTATGGTCTTTATTAACGCTCAGTCTTCGTTTTATTTCTAGTATTAATTTTACACTGTGATTGAATAAACAGTTTAATAATATTAATTTCATAACTTTTATATAACAACTCTGAGTACAGTTTTTCTTAAAAATTAGACAAAGTAGTATGATATTACATATTAGTATATTAAAAGACAATACATAATTTATACCTAGTTTGTGTTATTAAAACGATTTTTAGTGTCCAGAACAAAACACAATGTAAGTGCAGTCTTGCATTACATACCTACGTAACGTTAATCTAGGTGTAAACAATGTCAAAAGAATAAACCAAGACATTACATTTTTCACAAAGTATTCAACATTTTTCCAACCATAAAAATTAACATTGTATAATAAATTAGCACGTTGTGTTCTCACTTTACAATATTTGAAACTCACAATCCATAAATATTTTACGTTATAGGACCTACGTAACATATTTATGGATTGTGACTAGCCATGGAAATTATTACTACTTTTAAATCATAATCATATGATGATGTCTTTAGTTTTAGTCACTGCGATTTCACCTACGAATATTATTTGGTCATAGATATAAATAAATGGCACTAAAATCAATTAAAATTCTTTTTATCAAAGACCTTTTTTTAGATTTAGACCATTCGCGAGACTGGCGCTAGCGTAAAGTCGCAGTGCACAGGGGCGATTTTTTTATTTTATTTTTATTTACAAATTTATAACGCAATCTATCTGGCGATATTCAGCATTAGGTTGGTACTGGCAAGTTTTGGGCTTGTGCGAGATTGTTCATAAACAATATCGCTCTATCATTATGCGATCTACAATTTCACAATAATACATCTTGTGGGTTTTTGAGTTCTGATTATATGATTTATAAATCTGATTGTGATTTTATTCCATCCCTAATTGTGACTTCCTTAGATTATTCTAGCAAACAATTTTTCTAAACTAACAAGTGCGAAAAATAAGTATTTGTTAACGTTTTTATTGTCCTTGGATCTTGAACGTGTGTCTAAAAATTCAATTTGATATAGATATATTCAAAATAGTAGGTAAAGATGAGTCGTATTTTTTTTCGTAATACATATTATATGTTGCTGACTGTACCATAAAATCATTACCAACCGAATGTATCACTATTTGCCCGTTTCAATATGAATGATGATAAAAATGATGACTTAACAGGGCGAGATAGAAATATAGGTAATGGTCTTCAAAACAAATTAAACTAGATATGATTAAAAAGATGTTAAGTAGATATTATGTAAAACTATGGCAACTATCGGAAACATTAAAGAATTCAATTTTAGAAAATCTTAAATGTAAACTAAACCCGTGAGAGTATTTTATTTTTGTTCCTCAATGCCAACGACTTGCTTAAAACAAATTTAAATAAAGACCTAATTGTTAACATAACATTTTCAAGTAAATGAAAAATTATGATTTGATAACAAGAATTAAAATTAAAATTAATTGCTTATGTCAAAATTATAAGATAATACATTAAAACACTTCAAAGCGAACATTAAACGAACTTATGATAAAATATGTACAACGTATTTAATTAATCAAAAGTAAATACAATATAATGCCCCATAAAGTATCAGCTCTATATATCATACAATAAGTAATTTCCAGTAAGATATTAACAGAGTAATATTTAAAAAAACAAGCTTTAACATGTATAAATTCACTCAAAGAGCAATATAGACTTTTTTCTTTGCCATTATATGAGCTATAATAACCCACAAAGCTGTTCCCCAAACAGCTTCTATTAACTTTATTATGTGTGTTCTCATGAAGGGTACTCTCCAGTGGAATGGGAAGAGCTCGGCACAGATGTAGTGTCCAACGTAGAGAGCTATGGCGTTCAGCCCCGGAGATCGGAAGGGACCGCCGCCCCAGAGCCGCCAAGCATCAGTCAGGGTGTAGCAGAAGCATAAAAGGATTAGACAGCAAGCAGACGTTACTAGTACGAAGGACATCGACCTAGAATATAAATTCATGTTTAATCATTGTTGATGTAATCGTTTATCATACGAGTAAGACTATGAGAACGCCTTCTAGCCGTAACAATACGCTCACTACTACTAAAAGACAGTCAGGCACATCAGGCACCTAAGCGTTCATTTGGGCCATGAGGTTTGGGCATATAATCACACATCACATCAACAGCCTTTAACAGTCCACTGCTGGACATATAATAACATACCATAAATTTTTATTAATAGGGATCACGCCGTGCTCCCGAGAGAAACCAGCGAGTAACGCTCCAGCTAATGCGAAGACTAAGCTCCAAGCCAGCCACCGAGAGATGCGGGCTTTATGGGAACGTTGCAGTAACACCGTAGCTCCAGCCTGCACGCCCAGTAAGGCCTGAACTGTTGATGTTAAACAACCTGTAAAAGTAAAGAAGAGTTATATCGTTTATTTCCATTAAATAAGAGTCAATTAGAGTTTGCTAGGAAAATGTTTTCTTAATCATCAAACATGTCTTATGAAACAATAAAGTTGATTTTCGAATTTATGATTTGTGTGACTAGGTGAATAAGTTTTGCCCCCACAGGAGATATTTTCATAGTGATTTCGATATTTGTCTATTACACTGTTTTAAAGCAATGAAAAGCAAAAGATTCAAATTAAAAGATTTGCCAAGTAAATTTCGTAACAAGTGTTGGCCATTTTATCCATTTATTGGTTAAAAACAGCGATTTTCTTCTTTGGTTAATAACTTACCCAACAACCCTTCAGGGTCCATTGGAGGTCCTCCATAAACTCTTCTTGCGTCACTATGTTGGTACAGATGTGCTTCTCCAAGTAGCAGCCGATCGATGTAGCCTGCCGCACCACCACTGCACTCTGGTGCTACCCAGTCATCGTGCTTACCGCCGGGTCCTAGATATCCTCTGATAAAATACTTTTATTAACATTATCAGTTCAGAACCAGAGTTTTCAGCGTTTTAACATCATACGAAGAAGAATTTTGGTTTTTATTGGTAACTATTTATATTTAGTGAATCTAAAACGTCGTAAGAAGACAGGGAGATCAAAAGTTGACAGCACTATCAGCACAGACAGTATTATGGTGAATTCAAGCATCAGTTTTCATATTGTATTTACATGCCCTTCACAATGGGGTTTATAAGCTAGGTCTTGTAAAACCTATTAATCTACATATGTACATACATAATGTGAATGTAGCATGTTTGTTTGCTATACTCGTATGTATAAAGTTGCATGTTGCTCTAGTGCAGGGATTTCCAAAGTGGTCGATATCGATCCTTTGAGGTCCAAATCGGTTTCTCAGGGGTCGATGTGAACGAAAACTGATTTTGGTGGTTGACGAGGTCTAAAAATCGACCTCTATGTTAATAGTGGTTCAAATTATTAAATTAACCCAAGTTCTTATTTGGTACTTTCAAGATACTGTATTAGTAGTGTTACGTATATCAATTTGTTATAAAAATGACTAATACTTTAGTAGGAAGTATAATTGTTGTACTTTTAAGAAACTCAACAAGTCGATAAGCGTGCAGTAATTTGGCTATGGGGTTCTGAGGTATAAATTCATTTTAGAAAAGAGGTATCTTGCCCGAAATAGTTAGGGAATCCCTGTTCTAGTGATACCGAGTGTGGGTTTCGAACCCATCACTGGCTCAGTGCCTACCTATCATTTGTTTTGTCTGGGTATGATTTATTTAATCATAAATAAATCATACTGAGTATACTATACTGAGTAATACATAATACATTAGGCACATTATACTGATGTATAATGTGCCTAATGTATGTATTAAGTAGTATACTTAGTGCATACAAGTAGGTTTATCATCAATCTTGTGACATAGTATAGGATCTGCTTAGTTTGTGGTTAGACGACCGTGTTATATCTGTATATATATATATATATATATATGTCAAATAAACTTACGCAGGGCAATCCGGGTGATGTATAGTGAAGGTGATGACAGTGTGTGCAGCCACCAGCACAGCAGCCAACACCCAACACCACAAACAAGAAAGCACATCCTTAAGCGCCTGCCCACATGCGCCCTTTGAACATACAATAAACTTTCTTCGTCAAAGACCATTAATGATAATAGCCATTAATGATGTGATAATCAGGTATAATACAAATAATTTGTATTACACCTGATGATACTAAGAAGATACTAAGATACACCAAAGTAAAATATACTTAGTTAACAAACATTCTAAAAGAAAAATGAATTATTTGCTATACATTTTACTGCTCTTTTAAAGTTTTAACGACATTCACCCATCATTATCATTCACGGCAGTTTTCTTATATTTTTAAATTATTATTTGCCTCTCAAATAAAATACTTATTTGTCCACCGCCATGATGTATCGCTAAAACAAAATGATATCATAAAACAAAATGATATCAGCGCCTCCAACCGTGGATACTGTAACTATTTTACAATATGTTCACAAATATTTGTACTTATCATGTCGTCAAAGGCTGATTATTAATTCATCTGACCAGACGATACCATGCAGTGATCATTTTTAAGATCTGGTCACGACAGTTACATCTTTACTGATAGTATTGTACCTGACACTGGAATTTTCATCTTATCTTTGTGTGTCATACGTTTGCAAATTTAAAGTATTTTTTCATATCAACTGTCTTGCATGTTTCAAAGGGAGGTCATAAATAATATACTTTCGTTATCGTTTTAGGTCAAGAAAACATGTTTTTACATTTAAATATAAATTATTGGGGCGGACAGGTGTCCATACTTTATTTAATTCTAAAATTATTATCTTTAACACATTTTATAACTTTTTTTTTATCTATGGGCCTAGTTATTATAATAAAACAAGTTTTAAGATGGAACTGTTTAAATTCATTGCCAATCTATTATTCTTCACCGATAAAATGTAAGCGAAAGCTCTCATCTCTCTTCTATGTACTTATAAAAAAACAATGTCATTTACAGTGACATATTTAACAGGATCACAAAACCGGATAAACTGACCACCGGTTTCCATGATGGCAATTGGTGTCCAACACATTTGAAACACCAAATTATTCCTTCTTTTATTGTTACCTAGTAATGAACTAACAGTACTGTCGTTTGAATTATAAAATAGTCAAACTAACTTACCCTGGGTGGTGTATAATATTTAGGTGCTGTGAGTGCATAAAACCCAGCTGCTAAAAGGTATGCTACTGCTAACCGCTGCAAAACTCCAAAGATACGCAGCTCAAACAGCATGTTAGACCCGAACCTTGTGTTCAAAGACATACCCAGAAGAAACATCAAGAACGAACGCTGGAATACAAACAAAATTTTCGTCAGATATTTCAAGAGGGCTGCCACAACTTATAAAAAAATACCAAATATTTTTTAAATGTGCCCACTTCTACCTTATCAACAAAATAAAAAGTACCTAAAGTAAAATACATAAAAAAGTAATTTAATGGCGGGCAAGGCCAGAAGAACGGCCCTGGATGATTATTTTATAGTAGAAAATCATATCCCAATAAGCTACCAGAGTAATAAGTTCCTATTTTATTGTTCGTATGTCTTCTTTCTTTCTTGATTGTTTTAGATTTCTTTTAAAATACCTATTACGATTACATTAAGATTCGCCATTACTGTGACGAGATGTACTATGAATAACTAAGTACTAATTATGACTATATTTAATTGCTATTTTGTCTATAAATCGTACAACTTACTGTCTTAAATTATAGTTTTAAGAGTGCGGCTTGAAGTGCATCAAGAACGGTGGCCACTACTTACATTAATTAATATTTTTAGATGTATTAGTAGTTTTATCTTCAAGAAGTTTTTTTATATTTTATTTACCATTATGAGTTTGTTTAAAACTGCTTATGGTCTTATTTTATCAAAAAATTGATTAGAATCGATATAGTTTTGATCAAAACAACTCGGCAACTCTTCCAAATAGAAACAGCATTGTCATTAGAGAGAACCATCATTATTTACGTATAATATATAGACTTATACTGCCAAACGGGTCTTGTAAGTTTATCTACACTCTGTCACACAAAAATCGACTGACGAAACCTAATACCCCAAATTTGATAGATACTTCTTTATCTATATACCTATGGACCCTATGGTTATAGGGAACAGTCCCTTGAAATAATATTATGAAAGATCAGATGAACATAAGGCACTTCAAACATAATACCAATACTATCAGAATATCTATGTACTCGTACATATCTCTAGTATCTTCATTGACACAGACAAAAGCAAAACTCAACAGCTATATTATCTTATGAAGAATTGCGTAAACTTCTTGAGAGGTTAACGCCACACCTTATGACGAATGCCATTTATACATATACACTCAATGATCACAATTGAATCCAATGCTATTATACATCACTTTATTAGGGTTCCGTGCCTCAGAAGGAAAAAAAAGGAAGTCCAATAAAACACCTCTACTTGTATGGAATTGTTTTTCTCCGTAACGGGAGTTGGTATTAACTTGAAATTAATATCAAATACTTGTTTCCGCGACCGTCTAAAACTGTACATTAATTAGGTTATTAAGTCAACTAAAAGAAAGGATGCGGTCATTTAATGGTAACATTACGCAGATAATTCAAAGGTTTCAAACTTTAAAAGGTTGACGGATAGGACAAGTTTAGCGCCAAACTGATTGCACACAAGCTACTCTTGATATTTACTCCCCACTACAAAACAAATAACATACAAAATTTTGTTTTAAGATGAAAATGTTGTGCTGTAGCCCCACAGATAGGTAATAAAGGTACCTTACATGTTTCTCACATGTGACGCGAAATCCGGGAAATTGTACTCAAAACATTTTCATTCAAACAACAACTCTTGGTAAAGAATATGTGTAACTGATAGCTACGTTTGTCCCTTTTTAGCTGAATTATGTAGGTGATCACTACATTGGAACCAGGAACAAGTACGTTCACATTCACATTGTGTTTAATGTCTTTTTAATTCACTTTCACTATGCTTATGTTGAAAAACGTATTGATTCATCGCAGCGTGACAATATGGCAAATCAGCAAACGCTCCTCAGTTTTAATGTTTACAAAGTTCCGTGTTGACCTCACCTACTTTTAGTGTATGTCCTCAGGCAGTTTCTGATTGTTTAATTATAAAGTTACTAATTTAAACAATGTATGTCATGCTATCCATCTACATGCTAAAAAACTACATACACAATTACCTTTTTACTTTACTCGTCGCTGATCTGATTTTAAGCCGGTCATTTGTGTTCATTTAAATAATAGTTATATCAATCACACTGTGAACTAACACAGAGGATTTTAACTTTTGAAATCAGAACTCTTCGAAGAAGTAATAATCAATAACATATTTCACTTTGTGTAAATTTATCTTCAGACACAATGTTTCATCCTTGTTCCATTTAAATCTATGTCTTTATTTTGAATTAAACTGTTTAATTTTCAACTTCCTTTATTATCCTACCTGTATTATTTGCTCTTTCCTCAAGCTATAATGCCAATATAATTACTAAGTTTCATTATATATTGTATTAACAAAGTATCATATTCCAGGCCAAGTACTAAAGAAGAATGGTTCTATGATCAGTCGAATAACGGATCAATAGCTTAATTTATTTCGTCACACTTCGATTGTTCTACGTACGACTTTATATCTCGCCACAATCTAAACCAGAGCATATCCGTTACTAGGTTAGTATATTATATCGAATAACCCGAATAAAACCCATATGGACTGATTATCTGCACGCACATGATGTACATTGACGACCATGACTGTAAGTAATTGTATAGAAAATAGGCGTGAATGTAATGTATAGCATTGTCAGAGAAGAAGCGTAAGGTGAGAGCTATATGGATGCTTTCACGCGAACATAATTTCCAATGAAAAATGTTGTTGAAAAAACTCAGGAGAGCGCACAGTGAGAGAACATAACCATTCGAGATCGGTTCTAAGTAATTATACAGTGTAAGGAAGTAATATAGATGATAGTGATGTAATGAAAGTGAACGGATCGCGTGCACTGCATGTCAAATATATTTTTATTGAGGATTTATCACTTATTGCGATCTGTGTGAGATATTTTTATAGTTTCTCATTATACAACCTGCATTGTTTAATACCTATGAAAGCTAATTTACAACATAACATACTTTTGTAGTAAAACACTGATTTAACGTTTAAATTTGATTTACATGGAGCATTAACGAAGAACAGGCCCTTTTAGTAGTCTATAAAATACATTGCACAAAGCAAGTTTATAAGCAGTTACGTCATAAAAACTAAGAATATCTAGTTGTGTTTGTAAATCTTCTAAATACCTACATGGCGAGTCTGATGATAAATGCTTATCCTACAAGACATATCTCACAACACAAGAGTTCAAATAAATAACCAAATATTGTGAAAATCAAAAAGGCATCAATTACCCTTATATACATATATCAAACAAGCTCCGTACTAAGTGAACATCAACTTAAAGTATTTCAAAGATGTGATGGAAAAAAAAATTATATGTTTTTTTTTCAAAATCAGAACCTTCTGTATGTAGTCGTGCGTACGCATCAGACTTCGTAACGTTTGCATAATAACAGGTTCCGAAGCCTGACCTTAAACACCCCTTTCACAGTTAGCCACTGATGCCGATGCTTGCGTAAGTTCACTTGTAAGAAGCATACTTAATATTATAAGAGAGCATTAACGCATCTGCATGATATAATGACCACTATTGTAGAATAAAATACTTCTACTAAAATAGAAGAACACAATAGGTTAGTTGACTCAATTTCAAAACTTGGTTAATTTTATACTTTAATATCTATTTTATCCCAAAAAAACCTATATTTTAAAGAAAAAACAATATTTACATTACGTATTTTGTATTTAATAAAAACAATTTAAATTTCCTTCGAAAACGCTGAATAGTGTCATGGCGTCTTTAATGACGTCACAGTCTGCGAAATAAAGCTGTTTACATCTGTGTCCAGTGTCAACTGCTTTCAAAAAATGAATAAGGAATAAAGAGTAACCTGCTCTGTTGTATAAAAACGTCAACAACAACAATGATGTTTTGCGTGGCGTGACGTAACACTTTCTGATTGGTGTTCGCTGTCACGTGACTAAATGCCTATTTTGTACGAATTTATTTAAAAAAAAGATTAATAATCTTTAACTTTTATGAGAAATACACTGATTTTTTCTTATCTATGTCTCTTCATTTGCATATAAACCAAGCAATTTGTTATTAGTGGACACAAGCCTATTGGTCGCTTTTAAAGTTTCTAAAAATGTCATTTCTTGCCTATATTCACTTTCACTGGTTGTTTTGACAAGCTTTGGGGGAGGCCTAACTCTAGAAGTCGATGTCTTTCAGCTGAGATGAGATGATTCATTAACTGGAGGATCGCACATGCTACACATCTTGTAAGATGAAGTGGATTACACACACACACACACTTTGTCTGATCCACAAATTGTGGTTCCGAGTCTGGGTGTTCTTTGTGTCCGTTTCATTGTATGTTTGTAAAGTCCGACGCGACACAAAGTATATTCCTTCCCGATACAGAGTTATCTTTGAAAAGAAACAAACTGTCTTACTGATTTTATGTCTCATTGATTATTCTGATCGAACATCCACTTAAAAAATGAGCTCTCTTTTCGGGATTGATTGATTGATTCAATTCCAATGAATTAAAAGGTAGAGAATTCATGAACTCCTAGATACTAGCCTGCTTTGATGTCTGTTCTCAACTAATAATTTATTTTAATCATCATAATCATTGTCATCTAAGCATTCATAATAAATGCTTTAGTTCTTGTCTTATTTATATGTCCATACTAAGTGTTACCACCCCTATTCATCCCGTGGGTGTCGTAAGAGGCTACTAAGGGATCAAACTACGCAAGACAAACAGCACTGCTAAGAGAAGGTAAACTTGACAAAACCCCGATACTAATTACTAACCCCTCCGGCCAGCGTGGTATAGTAGGCCAAAACCTCCTTTGTAAGGCAGTGCACTACTAAAGACCGTTGATGATAATGTATTCGAATTTTTTAAGAAAGTAAAATAATATTTAGCTCTATTATAAAAGTTGTTACTGAAGAGGCTTGTTAATTAAATAAATAAATGTAATGTGTTAATAATAAACTAGTTCTTTCTTTGCCCATTTACATTTTATTTTCATATTATTACGTTTATATTATTTAATTTGAATATATATTAAAAATCATAACTACTTGGCGGTGTGGCTTAATCTGTCTAGTCTCATAGTAATGGTTTACTAAGAGTAGGTATTATGAAGGCGACAACTGTGCGTCTGTCGAGCCGCAACCTATGACAGTTAATTAATTACGGATCTACTCCTACGCGTTATGTAGCCATTGACTCATTGTTTAGACCATGGATTCCCAAACTATTTTGGGCAAGAGACCCCTTTTCTAAAATGAACTGATACCTCAGACCCTCATAGCCAAATATTTGCACGCTTATAGACTTGTTAAGTTTTTTAAAAGTACAACAATGATACTTCCTACTAAAATACACACATCAAAAAACTCTAAGCAACACACATCATTTACAGAAACTACATGTTATTTTATTTTTTTCTTAGCAAAGTACATCGATATACAATCTTTTTTGCTCTCGGAAACATATACTAGCTGATTTAAAAAATAGAAACTTTTCGATGGTTTTGTTTGTTGTTTGATTAATTTAAAGAATAGGATAATATAAAGACATAATATTTACAAAAGACAAAACACCTAACGTAGTTATTCATACTTCCATACTTATATTATAAATGTGAAAGTGAGATTGTTTGTTTTTTTACGCTGTCAGCTTTAACCATTAAACGGATTTAAAAATGAATTCACCAATGAAATGCTACATTAAATTATTTTAAGTTTTACAGTGCTGATGTCCTGCGTAGTTTCGGTTCTCACGACACCCAAGGGATGGATAGGGGTGGTAACAGTCCTTATTCTTAATCCGTCAACACACATGTACAGGCCTATTGAAATAAAAATATTATCAAAGCGAATACTATTCGTCGGTCTATTAGTTGCAGGTTTTGATTTCTGTATTTCTTACTGCTCGTCTATATCCACTATACTTGTTTCTCCTGCAATAATATCCGACCAGCTTAATGTAAACCTTAGTAAATATCATACCGAAAATCTTTTAGTGATAGTATAGCTTTATTTTCTCTTTTGTATAGCATACATGCAAATTATATTACGTCTTGTAAGAGGTGTGATAGTAACTTGTAAGAAGTATAGTAACTGATGGTGAAGGCAATGATTGTATAGAGTTCAATGCAGGAATGATATCATAGTTGTTTGTTGAAGGGGACTTCATCCAACGTGGACGTTAATGGTACATTTCATCGATGACATGAGCGGTACCCTTGATATCTACGTCACTGCACAAAAGTTAAAGTTTTCCAATGAAAGTGAGATTAAGGAAAATTACTGATTTTAGGCTATGGGTACTGTGGTGTTCATAACCTAAAGTCATTAAATTTAGTTTAACTTGGCTACGTTAACCACGGAGTACATACACTAATTCAATACCATAACGTTTTCAATTCGAATTAAAAGGTATCAAATTTTATTGTAATCAATTGTTGGTATTTACACTCTTAATATACAACGCAAATAAAAGTTAGTTAATGTAAATTTTATAGGAAATACAATAAAAATTTACCCGAGCCGGGGCAACATGTTGCCGCCTCGACATCATTTTGACTTTTACGAATAGATTTCATGATTAACAGCTCAATGTATTTTCTTTACAAAACTTTAAAATATCTTTTATTATTCTAAATGTTAAAATTACTTGCACTGTCAAAATATACTTTTTTTATAACTCACGTATCCCGATAGACTCTGAATCGATTTAAGGGTTAAAATGTTCTAATGGTTGAGTTACATCGCTCCAACTTTCTGATGGTTATTAACTTTTAACATAAAGTTGCAAAATACGTTAATATTTAAGAAGGATATAACCGTGTGAGAGCCACGCTTTTGGAGTTGAGTGACTGAGTTTACCGAAGCCCAATATCCCCTTCCCTTTTCTAGGGGAGGGACTCAAAAACAATGTTGTGTATTTTTAATAATGCCATTGTTATCTGTAGATTAAAAAGAGTGGCCGTGTGTTTGTTTGTCCTTTCTTCTCATGAGGCTCAACCCCTTGGAAATGTCCGGTTGTAGATCGGCACAGGCATATAAGAGATTTTCGATACGTACATATATACTTAGTTTGCTAAGTATTTGACTAAGCAGAGACTGTTGCTATTGTGTGTATTGATCTATGACTTTAGAGTCTACATAAGAGACGATTGCAAAAAAATTTAAATTTTTCATGATATAAAGATATTTGAGTTTGAGTTTGAAAGGGCACTTGTAACTTTTGAGTTGTAGGAGTCTATGGGTGGCGATAGTCCCTTAAAATTAGGTGACCAGTCTACTCACTTGCCAGCATGCAATAAAAGAAAATCAAGATCTAAACTGCATTAAAATTTAAATGCATACATACCCTGACAATATGCATCACAATTTTCCATCTCGGCACACCTTTCGCGAAGGAACTCTTCACAGATAGCGGTATACACACACCCATAATCCATAGGAACGCGGGAAACACCAGGTCGCCCGCCACAAGGCCGTTCCATGTGGCATGCTGCAACCACCAGTAGCCGCCTGCTCCGTCATTCACGAAGATCATAAAAACTATTGCCATCCTGAAACGCACAATTGCATGTTGGCGAAAATATTAAATCGACTTTAAGTCGTTTAATCATGGCCCGAAAACTAGACTAGTAAGGAAATAAAAAAAAAATACCTAGTATGTGTTAGTTTATTAGTGTGTAATGGTTGTTGATATAAACAGTTTATAGGACCAAAGTGAAGAAGAGTTCCGCAACGTTCATCTATAATGACCAAGTGATCAAAAGTTTTAGCTTACTAATATGAGGTTCATTAAACGTATTATTTTTATTGAGAAAGCTGTTTTGCATTGCAGTCAGTACATTATATTAAGTTAAAAATATTAATAGGGGCTGAAGTATGAAAATACTGTTGTATAGTAATAGATACTTTGAATTGACATAAAACGTTCATGCTGTGAGATTTTCGTGTGAAACTTTTTTTACGTGATACCTGTGAGGTTATTCTTTTAAAAAAGGTGCAACATTCGATTTTCGACTTTCAATTTTTTTTTATTCAGCTTAGACGTGAAAAATGGATACTTCGAATATCCGAGTCATTTTTGAATACGAGTTCCGATGCGGCACTAACGCGGCAGAAAATGCTTGCAATATTAACGCTGCGTTAGGAGAGGTGACTGTTAATGAACGCAACGTGCGTTTTTGGTTTAAATTCTTTCGTATTGAAACTTCGACTGGAAGAATGAACCACGTGGAGGACCGCCTACACCGGTAAATAACGCTGAATTGAAGGAAATGGTTGAAGCCGATCCGAGTCAAACTATGGTTTAACGTTACCTTACCTACAATATTACGTTGGACGCCACGTGGCCCACCATGTGTGCCAAGGGAGAAAACCAGTTGGAGCCAAAGCTAAATCTTATTTCAGTCATTTTGTTCAAATGTTGTTTTATTACACTTATCGATGAGAAATATGGTATTTTGGTACTACTAATTAGAAACGACAGGTGTATGCCGAAATCGTTAGATTTTGTAAAATGGCACACGGGTGGGCTGCGTGGTCTATTTGAAAAAGAATGCATATTTTGTTCCGCGGCGGCCGCGGGGCCACACTGCGACGCACCCGCTCTTCTCACCGTCACCTGCACACGTATCCGGCTCACGTGCTGTGAATTGTTTCAACAATCAACCGTTTTCATTTTTGCTGATTTTGGCGTAATTAAATTTTCTATTGTTTATAATGGATGTAGATGCCTTTGAAGACTTCGTTCTAAGTCAAGAGGACTTAGCAGAAATTGAAAACATTGAGGTAAACCTCCTAAATAACAGTCTTCAACTAAGTTTGGATGATGACTTGAATAACTTTTCATTACGTACAAAGCGTCGACGTATTTTGCTATCTGAGTCTGAAGAAAGTTTTATAACACATACCTTTGGATTGTTCATGGATTGTATCAACTTTTTAATGGTAGATTGGGGTATGTGCTCATTCCTCCAATAAAGCCGCTTTCAGCTGTTTCGCAAGTATTCTCTCACGCACATCACATTAATTCTTGTCTAAAAATTCTTGACCGATAAATCCTGAGTATGGCACTACATTCTCTTCAATAATGTTGGTGAAGTACGATTCCGCTGTCACAGTTCCTCTTTCTACGAAAACTAACTCTATACGGGCTTCTGAGCTTATACCTCCCAGAACAAAACTGAACCACCTCCAAAGCTTACTCTTTAAGATATGGCACATTGTACACATCATTCTCCCGGTCCACGATATACTCTTTTGCGACCATCAGCACCACAGACACATACGGGACTCATCAGAAAAAGGTACTTGCTCCCATTGTGCTAATCTCCAGTCACGGTGTTAACGAGCAAAATTTACCCTTGCTATCTTATAAGCTGCGGTAAGTTTAGGACCGGTCTGATCTGTAGGGCGGGTCTGTTTTGTTTTAAACTACGTTCTTCAAGGCGCCTTCTTATTCTCCTATCACTTACAGCAACACCTCGGATATCTCTGAGCATGTGCTGCAATTCTACTCCAGAACGATGACGATTTCTGAGGTTTGCTGACACTATAAATCGATCATCCCATTCAGATGTCTTTCTTCTTCGGCCTGATCCAAGTCTTCTGGTATAACCACCGGTCTCCAGATACCTTTTGTAGACATATTGAACCGTTGATCGACTAACTTCACATTGTCAGCGACATTACGCTAGCTCATTCCAGTTTGTAACAACGTTACGATTCGAACAACTTCTGCTTCGCTTAGATCCATATCTATCAGTGAAAGGGAAGTGGGAGGTACAAAAGTTAAATTAGTAATACAAACTTAACGATAGTTTTAAATAGCGTCTTAGCGACAGGACTTTAAACATAACGAATAAAAGAGTGTGTCTAAAAAATGATTAAATGACATTGGCCTATTATAGTTGTTAGCGTCATTTAGCAGACTGATTTTGTTAGATCTCTTTTAATCTCTTCTTTTGTTTTTTATTTCTATGTAAGTACTTTTTATCTTGCTTTAAAAATTTAATTTAACCTTTGTTTATGAGAGAGAGAGATAAGACTTAAGAAACTTGCGTCATACATACAATTTCTGAGCCCTATAACAAAATAAGTGTTAATTTTTTTTAAACTATTCATATATCAATAATAAAAATATTAACTACTGATTTAATTATTTTTTCCAAAAAAACCCTTTACTGGTTTATGTATGAAGTTTAGGAAAACCCCAAAAAGTAATGAAAATCGTTAATTTATTCTAAGTTAATATACACACGAAAACCAAGCTGACTAGATTGTTCTATAGGGCCACGCGGCTCACTCCCTAACATTTTCGTATGATATCTTTGCTTGGGGGCCTGTACTTTAGGGTCGGATAGATGTCCTCCTTTGGGTCACCGGTGACCTCCGTGGCTCCAACAGCTTAACATGGTTTGGCCCACCGGTGTCCGCCATGGCTCCAATGAAACAACCTGCGCTTTGTGTGGCGTTCCCCGTTATATTGACTCATTTGCATCAAATCAATTAGAATCTTGGATCGAATTGTGACATGTGAGCAAAAGTGGATTGCTTATGATTGCGAAAATTGCAATGGCTGACCCCAGGTCAAACGCCGCAACAGTGCCCTAAAGCAAAGCTTACCAATAAAAAAGTCATGGTAACTGTTTAGTGGTCTCTTCATGGTGTTATTCACTATAGCTTTCTCGGGCCTGGTCAGGCAATAACTGCAGATATTTACGGTGCCGAACTTTTAACAATCATGGCGAAACTAGCAGTGAAACAGCCCCGACCCGTGATCGATCGATCTTCACCATTATTGCCCCATGATAACGCAAGATCTTTCACTGCATGAAAAACTGTTGTAACTCTACAGGAGCTGCAGTTAGAAACCATACGTCATCCTCCGTACTCGCCAGACCTTGCTCCAACGGCCTAACATTTTTTTCGTTATTTGGACAATTTTCTACGTGATAAAAAAAAACTTCCCATGAGACAGTACAATATTCTTTCACATGGTTTGTCGAATTTAGATCCTCAGAGTTAAAGGAACTTCCGTTAAGATGGCAGCAGCGTATAGATAATGAGGATAAATATCGTGTAAACAAATATGTTACATCTTAGAAAAAAACGAGTTTCAATTTTTCAGTCCAAATCGGCAATTTCATAATTCAACCCCTAATATTAAAACCAGCAGATCAAATCATTTTAAATTTAAAAATAAAAAACAGTGTGCTCATCACAACAATATGTTTTACTAGGGCCTTATAAAAGCTTAGTCTAATTTTTGCATAAGGTTCCGTCAAAATAGATTTAGTACAGCCGTGTATCTCGGTTTCGGCCAGAATCCGAATTCGAAACCACGGTCCACAGACTCCGCACTTATACGTACTTGTACGAGTACAATAAATCTATTATTGATTATTGTACAAGTACGAATGACGAGTAAATGGTTAAGACTAGTTAAATCTACTTACCCCCTAAAAGTATCTAAGGCCCGTAATCTCTGTTGTATTGCCAGCTCTTTGTCTCCATACCGTAACTTTCCCGTCCGTCTGACACGCGACATGATGAGTTTCCCAATGCCGTACAGGAACCATATCGACAGCAAGAATCCCAGCAACAGTAGAAGGGCTAAAAGAAAATTAATTATATTTGAAAAAGTACATTGGTATTATGTAAATTGACAGGATAGAATGCTGAAATTGTCTTTAGTAATTGAGTTACTTGATTTGGGGAACATACACACAAACATGACTATTTTATTATTAGCGATAATAATAGCGAAAAATAGTAACAAAATAGCTTAGAAATCTAGTGTACCTTAATTTATTAATATACATTAGATTTTTTGTTTTTTTTTATTTACATTAAAAAAATAAGTAATATTTATGTAACAATATGTAAATATAAACATAATATGTAAACAGGACTAAAGTTAGAACTGGTTTATTTCTAACACATTATAATTTTTTGTTAATTTAGCAAGCCTCATTAGTAAAATAAATGATAAAACTATTATTATCATTTTGTTATATTATAGCCAAGAACCAAGAAAAATATTCAGTTAAATTATTATTGAAAAATAAAACATATATCGACATTTCTGTCTCTTCTTCTCAGCCGTTTTCAACTATTTTGTCCTCCTCTTCCGGATCTTTATCTGAACTAGTGTTGTACTACTTCTATTCAATTCTTCTCTGCAGTTTTTAATCATCACATTCGTCTATAATTCGTCTCTACGAACACCTCCATCTTAAAACTTTTTTGCACTATGAGTCATGTTGACAGTCGGTCTATACCAATACATAAATCTCCGGTACATGTTTAAGTACCTACCTGGGTGTCAACAAACGTATACTTAGAAACCTAATACTAATACCAATTTCTATACGAATACGAGCACATCTTTGTATAAAAACTACTAACTAGCATGAGATAATAGGCACATTTCGTGGCATAAAAACCTAAATAACAAGTAAACCAAACAGATATTAATCTCACACCGAGATGTGAGAGAATAATTAAATACGGTTACAAAACACACTGAATATTCAACAGCAGTATTGTTGGTTTTATGTAATAGAAATTAAAAAGTAATATAGTGCCATACAACTACCGTTACAACTTTTTTCAAAATAATTACTTTTTGAATAAGTATTACCGACTTATTTAAAGTATTTCCTGGGCGGAAATACTAATTTAATAATAAACACGTTCCGAGGTAAGAAATATTAAAATGAAACCTAACTTAGAACCTTCTCCTTTTTTGAAGTCATCACACATCACATCAACAGAATTTAATAGTCCACTGCTGCACATAGGGCTCTCCTTAGAAAGGAGGTTTTGGCCTACTATCACTGTGTCACTCAGGATGACATAAACATTCTTACAATAATACAATCATCCAAATCTGTTAAGGTATTTTGAAGTTTGCGTGGAATCAACAAACTTTCATACAAGACCAGTCATTTCACTAACTTGGCACTTGGCACTATCCCACTTTGGCACGAAAAACATCCGTAAAAACTCATGCTAAAATTACTTTACAGTATATTATAATTTAAATTCAACTTATTGTACTTTAGAATGAGAATTTAGAAGGCCATATTGTTACATATTATACTCTTTGCACTGTAAACGTGGATGGCTGAGGTAACAGTCCAAATTCAGGCCTTGATCATCCACGCCCTTGCTATTGAACCAAGTTCATTCAAACGCCCGTTGAATGAGGCGAATAGTAAATTACTTGTAACGGTTTCAATGACTGTGGTTCACCGTCAGATGCGAATTAAAGGAACTTTAACTAGTGATGTTGTATTTTTTTCCAAAAGTAATTTATACAAAGACAAAACATTTTATTATAATTGATTATGATTCATATAAGACTGTAGATATCGTTTCTCGTGAGACTAATTTGATTTTTCTGTATTCTTATGCATTACTGAGCACCATATTTTAAGGGTTACCTACTTAACAGGCCCAGTACCCCTCTATTCCATATTCTTTCGAATCTGGCATTATTTTCTTTTATTATAATATACCTATATCCTCTTTTCTCTCTTCTTTTCTCTGTTTTCATATCTCTTACTAATTTCATCCGCAGTTGAGCTTCGTTTAGATTTTTGTGTTCTCTGTTACGTTTACAGACGAGGACGTTACCAATATATATTTTTTTAATACATAGACTATGACTTATGACTTGCTTTATTGTGCCTATGTTCAAATCCACAAACACACAACACATCTTTTTATAAATATATTGTATTTTCGTGTTGTTTTTTAATTCGTATAAAACAAAAGAAAATATGATTGTACCATAAGTGTATAATAAAAAACAATCCTTGAACATTTTTTAAATTGTATTATTTACTTCCACAGTGCCTATACATGGTATCATATGATATTTAAGACTGGTCTGGTTTTGTGTCACGGTCATGAAGTGCACAGAGAAAATTATCTTCATTTGTAAATATCGATAAAAGTCTAGATTTATTGAGGCTACTTTAGTATGCATGCAAATTTGGGCATCCGTTTACACATTATGCAATACGGATAAAACGTATCAGCATTATCTTGTGTTGTTGTGAAGAGTCTTTAGGTATCTCATATGAAGTGGCATAATTTGTGACGTAATAGGGAATGAAGAAGAGACAATACATATACACTAAAAGCAGGGACAAACTTATCTGACGGGATCGGAGATATTTATCGAATTATAATTGCATTAGAGTGAAAAAAATTAAATAAATTAACAATAAACATTAAACATTTAAACGAATGTTTAAATGTTTGTACACAATATTCTGAACATATTATGCCTGTAGGTAATCATATTATATAATATTAAATTATATAATATTAAAATGACCGTCTTAAAATCTTACGCCTGTCTTTGTATCGTACTTAAACTTTTCCCTTTACAAATTATAATGTTACTAGATTTTGTATTTGGGGATCTCGGTGCCTGCATGCTTCAAAATAATAATTCTTCTTTGCTGCTTTTAATCATATATGCTGTTTTACGGGTTTTAAACTATCCTAAATGATAACATTTTTGAAATTGCCTTTTATAGTTTAGTTCAAATATCCACGAATCTTCGGTTTATCGTAATGCAACCGCTTTATCCGCTCTGATAATACAAGATACATTTTGCTGAGAACGTCTAGATAAAATAACTATATATTGACAAGTCCGTGTCATGGCACTTTAGTATGAAATACAAATTTGAAAAAAAACGATCTGTTTAAAGGAAAGAAGGGATTGTTACTTAAGATGGAAAGGACTCGGTTGTTAGTGTTAGTTGTAGTTGTATTTAACTTATTTATAATAAGAAATGTTGTGTGTTATGTGCGGGTTGATCCCCTTGTACTAATCAACGGTCAGGGGTTAGTGAGAGGTTACAGAGCTACCGATGGCGACTACTCCGTTTTTTTGGGTGTACCATATGCAAAAGTTGACCCCGAAGATCCTTTCGGAGTAAGTTTTAGTGTTTTACATAATACTATGTACTTACTATCGGTAGATCAGACATTTGAAGCAAGGCTTAAGATTGAGTAATCCCTGTACCTTTTGTTGGCAAGGAGTGGGCGCGTCTGTAGTTAGTGTGTGTGTTGTGCAACATTCATACATTTTTCTAAAAAATATATTGCTTAAGACAAACCAACGTTTAATTTATAAATCCTTGTATCAGAAAATAAACCTAATTCGTAAAATTCCCGTTTATTTCTTAAACTTTTTGTACACAATAAAATAAATGTTTTCTACTCGTAGAAATATTTTCAGTTAACTAAATAAGGAATAATGAAAACCTGATTTGAAAAGAAGACATCTAAATTAGATATGCTTTTTTTTCTTTTTATTATTGAAAGAGTTGAATTTATAACTAACTAAGAATGTTACTATAATATTCGCGTCAGATACAATTGAAAAAATTTCAATTTCCCCTCAATTCAAACCCCAATGCAAACTTAAAAGTCCGAAAGATCAATCGCTAGATGCCTTTACAATCACTAGTCAGTCATTTGTTTCTTTCAAACTAAAATTATTAGCATTAAAAATTTTAAAAAGTATAGGTAATCCTTAAACAAATTCAAAGGTCAGATTTGAGAGATTTGTTTTTTTATAAGTCAAGTTAAAGTACAAGGTTACAGATATCTAAAATCATCATTATCTTGATGTTACTGCCCTAGATATTTCCAATTTTATTTGGGGTCATCCGAATGTGTGTAATTTTTATGGCCAGCCGTGACATCAAATTTTATCATTTAGAGACGAGACAAATAAAAAAGTAATTGGCGTAAAGAAAATCTGTAAACGAAAATTTAATTGAGTAGGTCATAATTATAGGTCTGTGCTATAATTATGTATGCGGTCACTATGACAGGAACTTGAAATAGGCTGGATAACTAAATTGTTAAGCTAAATAATTTGTTTTGCTAATGAGTTAATTTAAGCCATAGCTTTTACTTTATTTTTAAAGATATGTACCTACTCTCAGCGGAGTTTAGTTGTTATAGTTATTTTTACATTCTCTTACTAATAGTCCCATTATACGCCGATAATGATGGGTTGTCGAACTCATTAAACTATGATTGACGCGTTGAACTGTTGATGGATGGAGAGTTTATTCTTTAGTTCAAAATAATATAATAAACATTTTTTCATATTGGAGAGTCCAATATAGAGCTATTATGAAACCGTTTATAGCCATATTATTGTGTAAATAGCTTTCTACTCTAGTTTAGCCCACCTGGAACTCGGTTCAAGTATGAATATTTTCAAATCTAGTGTATAATATATCTCGTTTTAAATCTACACATAAATAGGTAAAGACAGAATATTTAGTACCTTTTTCGTACCGCTGTTTGTCAAACAACTGTTGTTTTTTTTTAGTAGCTCATATTTAATGCACATATAACTTTAACTCTCGGCGACGTAAAGCAATTTAAAAATGTCAGATGAACTTTTCAACCTTTCGTCTGGGTCATGTTATTATTAATTACGGAAATTGATTTCTGTTTTTTTATGTAGCTTGATATCTCCTTCTAAGTTTAATCACAAAATGAGTTTTTTATACTTGAAAAAAAATTACTCTTTTCCCCGCATTTATCCGTATTTTGTCAGTATCTAAACTTTCAGTGAACTTCCACAGATATTTCAAGACCAAATTTAGCTTAATCTGTGCAGCCATTCCGGCGTTTTAGTAAGACACGAAGTAACGAACAACAATTTACATATATGCCGAAGGTTCTATTGTCGGCTACCTTCTTTTCATAATAAAACTTCTTAGAAATTAAGTCTCATATTTGGCTTAAATAATATTTATGAAATGTAATACAATTAGATTACATATTGCTCTTTGTTTCAGCCTGCTCAAGAACCAATTCCGTTTGATGAGGTAATCTACTATGCTAGAGATGGATCAGTCAAGTGCCCGCAAATGACAAATGAACATTCACTAAGCGATAACGAAGACCTTGACTGTCTTCGTCTAAATATCTTCGTTCCTTTTCAAGCCAGTTCTACCAACCCTCTTCCAGTATTAATCTGGTTTCATGGAGGAGATTTTTCTCGCGGCAGTGGTGGACAATATGGTGTATCAAATTTTGTCAGACATGATGTTGTAGTAGTAACTTTAAACTACCGTCTAGGGCCTTATGGTTTCATGTGCCTTGACATTCCTGAAGTACCTGGTAACCAAGGACTGAAGGATCAATATGCAGCATTGAGATGGATTAGATCTCACATTAGTTCTTTTGGAGGTAACCCTTTCAACATGACTGTAGCCGGCCAAGATGCTGGAGCCACATCTGTTTTATTACACATATATGCAGATAAAGATAGATATTTCAGAAAAGCCATAGTCGAGAGTGGTACACCTCAGAGTGAGGGTATGTTTGTTAGCTCTGATGAAAACGTTGCTATTAAAATAGCCGGTCATTTGGGAGTAAATACAACTGACACAACAGAAGCGCTAGAATTCCTAAAAACTACTCCCCATGAATTAGTGACAGCTGCAGCTTATGAATTAAACTTACAACTAAAGCCTTGTAGAGAAAGGTCGTTTAGTGGTGTCGATATCTTTGTACAAAACGATCCTTACTCACTTACAAACACAAGAAGTTTTCGAACATCTATTTTAATTGGGTATAGTAGTAATGAACGTCATTCATTAAGCAGCGAGTACTTTGATTCAGATCCGTTTTATGAAAAATTGCAAAACAATTTTAACCTTTCCGATGAAGTTTTACAAAATTCTGCAAATATTGTAAGGCAATTTTACATTGGTGACAACGCATTATCTGAAGAAGTTGCAAAGGAATTAGAAATGTTTGAATCAGATTTTGGATCTTATCATCCTACAGAAAGACAAATAACTCACCTATTACAAGAAAATCTTAGCGAAATTTATCAATACTTGTATAGTTACGTTGGTAACACTGATGCTAATGGTGTTAGCCGTACTTCTGAACCTAATTATTTAATTAAAATGGAAGGTGTTAGAATAACTGAAGATCAACTGGTGCTTGACCGCCTTACAACATTATGGACTAATTTCGTAAAATATGGGTGAGTTTGATTTGAATAACATGTAGTCTCTATAAAAAAAACTGAATTTCGCAAATTTTATCTTACTTCGTTCGCGTGGAATTTGAAAAGCGCTGCCTTAGTGGTGTAGTATGGTACGCGAGTGCAGTAGATGAGGCCTCGGGTTCGATTCCCGAACCGGGCAAAATTTTAGAGTCAGCGACTTTATAGTAAAATAATATTAAAATCAATTCAGCCGTTTTGAAGATTACCCGGCACAAACAGACAAACAAAAAATATTTAAACTGATTTTTAGGCATAGGTATCGTGCAAATAGCCGTGTGAGCGTGAAAATAAAACTATAATTTTGACATTACACACTTCAATTTTAGTTATTTATATTGATCATGTGTAAATTAAATCAGGATTTCTTTTTATTCTTTTCGGAGTATTGCCGGCATACTACGATTAGCCAGGATCGTATTTAAGTCTGTCATGGTGACAATAAGTAGCATATAAATAGATATAAAGGCGCTTATTATATATGCATTGATATACAATATAGTTGGGCAACCATAGATAGGGTCTGTACTGACTGCTATTTGCACATTCCACTATTTGTTAAACAGTGCTACAATACAAATGGTAAATAAAGAAATTAGGTTTTGATAGATTTCAATATTGTTAAATGATTAAATTTAAAAAAAAATGTATCAAAGGAAGTCTGAAAGTCGACCACAGGGAAAAAAGCAGAGATGACATTTGTCATGTGCTTGAGGTGTAAGACCTTTAAGGTTAGGTGAAGGGTCTTCTACTAATAGTCAAACCTCATCACAATTTTTCATAATAAATAGATAGAACACTCATAAATTGACAACTGCGTTAAAAATACAAAAATTTATCATTTTTTACAGAAATCCTACACCATCTACAACAGAGCTAATCCCTCTCAGATGGACACCAGTCACAGATGGCAGCCGTCCTACCATGATTATAGACACTGATCTTCGAATGGAAAGCAGGGTATTTCAAGAACGAATGGCTTTTTGGGATCTCTTTTACTCCATGTATGGCAACATGGCTAAGCTATTACGGAACTGCTCTGATAACCCTTACATTTGTTGTTAAGTTATTTTGTGTGATCAAATAATTGAGCACAATATTAAAAGGAGTCTTTTTTATTTTAAAGGATAACTCCCGCATTAGGAATATATCCTGTGACGAGGGGAACTTTACAAACATACATGAAACGGACACAAAGAACACGCAGACTCAGAACAACAATTTGTGGATCACACAAAGTGTCGTCCCATGTGGGGATCAAACCCACAAAAATCAGCGTAGTAGTGAGCGGCATGGCGACCGCTTAAACCACTACGTCATCCGTGCAGTCTTACGAATGTAATACCTTTTCAAAAGGCTATATAGATTAATCCTAGGCATAGTAGGTCTATACTTAAATTTAACATTATAGATTTTTTAGTAATATAAATAATATTTGAAAATTAATATTAATATAATATTTGAAATATTTTAATCATAATTTCGGTTTTCATAAACTGTCAATTTTGTATTTTAGTATTCTTTTCAAGGTATAGTATAGTTAACTACTTTTTGGCCGCAGTTACGGCTTCGTTTTTATTAGATAAATGGTACCCTACATCGTACTCTTTTTGTTTTTTTTTTACCTTGGGTGCACACGAACTGACTGGCCGACTGATGGCAAGTGACTACCGTCGCCCACGGACACCTTCAACTCAAGCGACACAAATGCGCTGCCACCTTTGCCAGCAGCTGACAAATTAGGCCTCAGGTAGTGTCACAAAGCAGCAAAAATAGCTTAGCATCGGTTTTCTGTAAGGCTGTATTATTCCGGACGAGTTGGCCCACGTGTGGCAAAATATGGCTCTGGTGTGGTACTCGTATATGAGACTGATGATAGGCCGAACGAAATGGAAAAAATAAATATTTTTGATAAATCTGATGTAAGTTTTCATAATCGTAAGTAGTATGACGCGAAGGAAAAATTATCTGCTACCACGAATCCCGTTGTTGTATTGTTTCATATATATAATGATTTATATTTATGGTATGACTAACCTATAGCCTTACAATAGTCGGTCACAATAAAGAGACAAAACACTTACGACACATCGACAAAACATCTTTCTACTCCACAACCGCTCTTGGGTGCTCGTAGGTTGCGACCGTATATATTTTGTTTGAAAGCCGATTCTGTAGAACCAGAATTATATTTTTGACATCTATTAATGTAGGTACATATGTACGTCATGTCATATTACGTATTCGTAAGGGGCAAGCTATTAATTAGTCACATGTAAAGGGGGAGGTCAAAGAAACATTATGCGACAAAGAGCGTATTAAACAAAAAACCATTACATGAATATGAAATCTATACACTACGACACTTTTATTTTAAAACTAGCTGACCCGGCGAACTCTGTTCCGCCTTAAAGGCAATAATTAAGCCAATTTTCGAATTTAGTAAGTTAATTGTTTTCTTAGAAAAAAAATGAAGTACATTAATCATTTATTATTGTTTCTGCATTTCAGTACATAGGTTGCTCTTCACTTAAGTACCTTGTGATACACGACATTTTTTGTTTTCTTATCAGGCACAAAAACAAACAACGCAGATGGTCTTCCGACCCGTGAACATGCCACATATAATTGACCATGGGAAAAACATGGATGTTCTAGATTCAAACCACAAACTTTTAAGGATTGGCCTTGTGATTTGTTGATGGTCATCAAAAATGCAAGACGGATCGGAAATTGCAGTCTTTTAAATTCAAACGGCAAATCGGTTGAAATCATCGGGATCCTCGGAATGAGAACTTCCTCACCTTTGAATTTTCCTTTCAATATCGTCGCTAAATTACATTGTTCATCAATTTTTTAAAAACCAAACGCGTACCGTTGCACAGTTTTGGTTGGTTTATGTTTCGAAGCATGATTACTACGGAGCCAACCTTAAGGCGTAAATTTTGCGGTGGTAAGCCAGGCACATCCAAGGAGTTTAAAAATTCAATTGGATAGTTGGTGGCTTCATCTTCATTTGTGACGCAGTCAATAGATTTGAATGAATGCATTGTTTCAATGATCTTATTTTGAATTATATAGTTCAGGTCGTCTACATCTTTATTCTTAGCCGCTAAAATTGCTCGCTCACTCAACCATTCATTATTTTTGTAGTTAGAAATAATGTCTTTAAATACATTGTTGATAATTTCTTCTTTTGATGAGACAAAATTACAGAAATTATTTGGAAATGATATCAATCCGCTCGATTCATCGACAGGTACTTGACCATTACCGATAGTCAGCAATTGCTCAGAGAAATATTAACAGTTCGTAGTGTCTCAACTGACGTTGGCCCATGCACATTTAAAAGCAACAAATGTATACATACGACCAAGAGCATCAGTAGAACGCACATCCGGATACCCAGGAACCGCATCGCCTTGCTTCCGTATTTGAAAATTCGAAGCATTCCAACTAATAACAATAACGTGGCATCTCCGAGTAAAGCAAAGTTCGTAAAAAAACAAAAAAAAAAAAAAACACTGTCGAACGGAATAAATAGTATCCTATGTCCATCTCCTGGCTCTAAGCTACCTCCCCACCAATTTTCAGCAAGATCGGTAAAGCCGTTCTTGAGTTATAAATAGTGTAACTAACACGACTTTCTTTTATATATATAGATAAACTAGCTGCACCCTGCCACGTTTCGCTGTGGCACATCGTGGCGCATTAATGAGAAATGAGGTACAAAACGAACGAAAAATAAATAAAAACAATAATTGAAGCGGTTTGTACATTGCGTCAAAGTTTGAGGTCAGTCGGTGCAGAACTTATTTCAGTGCTTGAAGCGTACACAAACAATATTTATATAGACTATAATAAGTTTAGAACTATTGCTTTAATCTGTGCAATTCTGACTGTAAAATTGCAAAACATATAAGTAACGTCACACCCGGGAGTGGGGGAACACAAATCTGGGTTCCATCGCCTTCCGGAAATTTCATAATTGTAAAATTTCCGGAAGGCGTAATCATATGCATGACATCATTATTTTTTTCTTATTAAATAAATACTTTTTCATTAAGTAGTTGCATGTATGCAGTAAAAAATATATTTATAAATGATAACAATTATATTTAAGACACCTTTCAGTGAACTTAATACAGTACATTTCATTCGTAACTGTTGTGCATGATACCGATAGGTTAGACTTTCGTTAACACAATTGTAAGTTAGTGGTTTCTTTCTGGGTCGTTTCTCGTCTCCGGATGGCGCTCATCAAGACAATCGACGACACGCACAAAGGATTTGGGCCAGCAACCGCCTCTCGCCCACTGCGTAACCACTTTTGATTGAATTTTTCTTCATAGTGGGATGTGCAAAAATAAACGAATGTCGTCATGAGCGTAGTTTGTTGCATCCTTTGCAAACATTACTCGGAAGGATGTACATATTTGTTATGTGTTTTGAAGTACACAGCAAGTAAGTCTGTCAAGACGCTATTTTCTTTTGCATTGCTTGTCAACTTCATAAAATATATTTGAAATTGACTCTGCAAAGCCAGAGGTCGTGAATTCGATCCTTTATGAGGACAAATGGTTGTGTCATGAGCATATAACCGTTTGTTCTGTGTGAGGATGCAATTTATCTATAACAAGTTTTTACCAGCGGCTCCGCCCAAGTGTATGTTGGTTATCGCGGTAAAAAGTAGTCTATAGCACTCAGAGATAATGTACATTTCTAAAAGTGAAAGAACTTTTAAAATCGGATCAGTAGTACTAGAGATTACCCCGAACATACGAACGCAAAAATTTTACCTCTTTTTAATATTAGTATAGTATATCACCGGCACAGACCCGGCATCCATATGGTAAATCCATGGAAGGCTAAGAAATAGGTCTTATTTAGTATGTATTTAGTAATGTATAAGTATGATTATGAGCAGTCTGATTACCGTAGTACATCGTTCTAGTTTTGGATCAGATAACTGTGAATGAATGTGTGTACACATTCTGTCTCGAGTAATTAATATAGTAGAATATTATAGTAAATAGTATAGTTATATCTAATGTTGCTTCTTCCGCATTTATTGTCAGTCCACAAAACGAATCCACTTACATTTAGATAGCACCACGAGATTGGCAGTGTTGGTAGAATAAAACAGTGTTCGCTTAGGAGAGCTTATGGTCAATAATCAATCTATTCCTAGGGAAAAATTAATAGTTTATTATGTATGTGGTATTTTTTACAATGTAACTGGCATACTGGCTGGAATTTAAGACTATTTCAAATGTTGACCCTTGACATGGGGATGAGAAGTATTCCTCTTTTAGCACTTTAAAAAAATGTAGATCAATAAAAAAAATCGGTTGTAAAATAATTATGGGTCATAGCGAATTTTATGTTACTTTTAAATAGTAACACGTTTCACAAGAAATTCATTATGTGATTGGGGGATAATGTGGTTACTTTCTTGCAGGCTAAAGATTAAGTAATCATTGTAAGTATAATACTTTAGTAGACTTTCTCTAGGCACATCGTTCGCTGATATTAGTCGCGCCAGATTTTCATAGTTTTCTCCGTCCTTTAGTGCGTGACTCAATCGGTTTGGCTTATCAATTTATTATTTAATCAATTTGCGGTGTTTCTTCTTACATTCTTACTTAGACTTTCGCATAATATTGCGTAAAGATTAAATTATACAAAGACGTTTGCAAAATTGCAGACAAAACTTATCTACTAAACGCAATCATTAAAATTTCATATACATACGAGTAATCCTATATAACAACGCGTTTAGGGTGCTGATGGGGTTGCCACGTTTCTGTAGTGCTTGAGGATGTTTGCAGAAGCCCGCGTTGATTGTATACAGTAATGCGTAAGAGATGCGCGTCCCTGGTACGCAGGGTGCGGAGCAGCACCAACAGCATACTAAAAATGATCTCTAGCCGAATGGATTGCGCGATCGTGATCCGGTGTTGCGATCGTTGACTTTCTGCTGGAGTTGCAGCATAATACCTACCTATGTACCATGTTAGGTATCGGTTCATCTCATTATGTTCATTCTGTTTATTATGTAGTAT